AGCGTGCTTTACTAATCTCTAAAGCACTTCTTAATCCAACCAAATTAACAGTCAAGATTAACTATCATGGGACTGGAGAGATGGCTCAGTGGTTAAGAGCACTTGTTCTTGAAGAGGACCTGGTTTGGTTCCTAGCACCCACATGGCAACTTACAACCATCTGCAGCTCCAGTTCCAGGGGATTGGATGCCCTCTTCTGGCCTCCATAGGCACTGAATACGTGTGGTACACACACTTGCAGAAGAAACACACATGCACATAAAATAAAAATAAAATTTTAAAAAAAAGCTTAACTATCATGATGCCATCATGATACTTCATTGGAGCCAGATGATTTACCCTGTAGCAAAAGAAAGCTCAGAGAACATTCATCAAATAAGAGAAATTGATTTGAATCTGCTGAAAGAGTAAACTTGCAAATTTTCTTTAGTAGTCGTTTAAGTCAAATAAGCACAGTGCATTTTAGCACATAATTTGTCCCCTCAAAGAATATATCAAGCTGTATATTTCACAGGCATCTGCACTAATGACATCATCTTTAAGATGCCAAAGCATTAGCATGTGCCCCTTACAGTCTTTGTTTATTATTTAAAACTTTTTATTTCTTTTTTTAAATGTGTATGAATGTTTTGCCTGCATGTATGTAAGTGTACCATATGGGTGCAGTGCCTATGGGGGCCAGAAGGGGTGCTGGCACCCCTGGAACTGGAGTTGATGTTTATTAGCCACCATGTGGGTGCTAGAAACTGAACCGGGTCCTCTGCAAGAGCAGCCAGTGCTTGTAACTTCTGAGCCATCTCTCCAACTCCCCCTCCCCAATTTTTTTTTTGAGATAGGGTTTTTTGTTTGTTTGTTTGGTTAGTTTTTTTTTCTGTCTTTTTGAGACAGGGTCTCCCTGCAGCCCTGGCTGTCCTGGAACTCGCTATGTAGACCAGGCTGGCCTTGAATTAACTGAGATCTGCCTGCCCCCGCCTCCTGAGTGCTGGGATTAAAGGCATGAACCACCACGCCTGGTGAGACAGGGTTTTATGTAGCCCAGGCTGGCCTCAAACTCATTATGTAGCCAAGGTTGACCTTGAATTTCTTATCCTCCTGCCTCCACCTGTTGAGTACTGGTGTTACAGGAATGTGCCACTGCGCCTGCTTTACATGATGTTGGGAATCAAACCCACAGCTTCCTGCGTGTCAGATAAGCATTTCACCACTGAGCTACATCCTCAGGCTTCTACTTGAAACCTTTTGAATTGATATTAAAAGAACACCCTTACATTATAATACTGTTACATTCTCTCTCTCTCTCGCTCGCTTTCTCTCTCTTACATGGACAGGCATTTTTGGAACCCCCAACTATGCACAAAGTACCAGGCCAAGTGTACAGAAAATTCAAGGGAGAAAATACACGTAGGCTGGGAGGCCCCCGTGTCTGGAGTGAGCTTTTTCACTCTCTGCCCACATGCCTTTAGCCTATTACTATAACCACATGAGTAATCCTCCCTGGCTGAGAGATAAGCACAAGTAAAGGTCAGAAGAATGCAAGAACAAAGTACAGTAGAGAAAGCTTTGAGGAGATGTAGCAATACCTGGCGGTGTGTGTTCAGAATGGGTGGTGCCATTAACTCTGAGTGACAGAGCTTGGGAAAGACCTCTTTGTGGAAGCCCACGCCTTTAATCCTAACACTCAAGTGGGAGGCAGGGGCAGGTGGATCTCTGTGAGTTTCAGGCCAGCCACAGCTATATAGTGAAACCCTGGAGAGAGAGAGAGAGAGAGAGAGAGAGAGAGAGACACTTATATTGGGTACTTAAATGCAAGGAATTTTAAATAAAAGCTACCATTTATTGTGCATACCACATACATAAAGCACTTTCATTTAAAAAATATTTTATTACATTAATAAATAAATAAATTTTTGTGTGTATGTGTCAGGGCATGTATACCTTGGAGCACTTGTGGAGAAAAGAGGCCACCTTGAGGGAATTAGTTCTCTCCTTCTACTCTATAGGTCCCAGAGATCAAACTCAGGTGGTCTAGCTTGTCAGCAAGTACCTTTATCCCCAGACCCCCAGAGCCATCTCACAAAGTACCTAGGAAGTGTTAAAGTCCTCATTTCATCAGAGAGGGGAGAGACTTTCCAGGAAATGAACCTACTGCCAGTTACAAGAGCTTGTAATGAAATGGAGCAAGATCTGCTATCAGTGTGTGTGCAGGGTTGTGTCACTGTCCTGCATCGTTGTTTTCAGACTTAGTGAGCAACTCCTGTGGCTAGTTACCCTGTGCCTTTCCAGTCATGGTCCTTGCACGTGTCCCTGGAAATGAATCATTTCCTTAATAGTTTGAAGGCAATATTCAATATATGAGATGCTAGCTTCTCATGTTTCCTTACTAGGGCATCAGAAAATACGCTTACAGAGGGCTGGGGATGCAGTACCTCAGTGGTAGAGTACTTGCCTAGTGTGAGGTCCTGATTTCAGTCCTCAGTACCAACACACACACACACACACACACACACACACACACACACACACACACACAATCTCCTTAACAATATTTTATCACGATACACCAATGCTTTTCTGAAAGTCAGAATGTGGCAATTGCCTGCCTAAGAGATCATTCAGTGCTCTTCCCAGCACTTTGTATTTCCACTATTCTGACCTTTGTTCATACCTCCCTCTCAGTTAGGGAGGATTATTAATATGGTTAAAGGCATGTGGGTAGTGAATAAAGAATCTCACTGCAGAGCTGAGATTTTCTTGCTCTATACTGGAATACACACCATGCTTCTGAACTTAGCTGATGAATTCTCTTTTGGAAGAGATTTGCAACTCCCTTTCAGAGACCAGGTGCCCATTCTCCACAAAGGGTATAAACACTACTATTATCCAGAACTTGAATATGGAATTTATAAGCCCTGGGTTTTTTGTGAGAGCTTAAGAGTTAGCTAAGGATCTGATTTCAGTACCCAGGACATGGTGGGTAGAAGTAAATGGTGGAAGGGGAGAATCAAACCCGACAAATTGTCTTTTGACCATGTGCACCCCTCCCCCCAAAACACACATACAAACACATGCTCACAAAGTAAATAAATTTAAGTGTAATTTAAAAAGGAATTGGGAGTAAAGGTCTCTTATTAATTAATCATAGACTCAGTTTTATCTAAAAATCTACATATCTCTAGACAGATATGCAGAAAATAGTAAAATACTAGTTAATTATATCATTGCAATTCTATGCATGCATTATTACTCATTTAGAAAAAGAATTAACTTTTGACAATTTCATACATGTATGCACTGTATTTTGATTACATCCACCCCAAGACTTCATCCCTCTCCCGTCACCTTCATGTCTTTTGTTACAACTCACTGAGTCCAATTAGTGGACCTGAATGTGCATGGGTGTGGGACACAGCCCCAACGAAAATGGACTCTCTACCCTATGAGCCCTCAACCCCCAAGGGTCCTCAGCTCTGGCTGGGGCTTCAGGAGTCCTTGCCCATCCATGTGGGAATGTTGACTGGTTTGATCTTACATTCTGGCTGCTGATTTCATGCAGTGGCCATATCATGTCCCTGAAATGGCATTTCATAGCACTCCTCCTGGTCCTCCAGCTGTCAGACTCTTTCCACTGTTCTTAATCACTGAGCCATCTCTCCAGCCCCAAGATCCTGCTTTTGAAAAAGTCTAGAGTAGAGGCAATGGTGAACTTGACTGTCAGCCTGTTTGGATTAAGAGCCTGGGCTAATAAAGATTTCTGGTGTATCTATGAGGTATTTCCAGAGACCATTAACTAAGGGGGCAAAGTTATCCCTGAATGTGGGTGACACCATTTTATAACTTGGGGAGTGGACAGAACAAAGTGGGGAAAAGAAAAAAGCCTGTGAACATGGGCGTTCTCTCCCTCTGCTTTTAAAAAAAACGAAAAAACAAAGAAACCCCAAAACAGGGTCTTGCTGTCTAGGCTGTCCTAGAACTTGTGATCCTCCTGCCTCAGCCTCCTGAATGCTGGGATTACTGGCATGAATCTTTACCCACCCAGCTATTGTCAACTATTTTTTACAGTACAAAGCTACAAATTATGGCTTTGTATTCTTGCTTTCATATATATATATATGTGTGTGTGTGTGTATATATAATACATATATAAATATTATATGTATATAAATAAATTCAGGTAATGTTGAAAAAAGGTTTGGCTGATTGACATCTCTTCTGTACTAACATGTTTGGAAATATAAATCTTACCACTTGACCACCAGGAGCAGGCTTTAAGCATTTGTAAACTTGAGGGACTGATTTCCTGTTGTACTTGTCCTGTGCCTGCTTTACTCTGGCAGCCTCCTGCTACCCTTCCTCCCCACCTTGAAGGACTCTAGTCCCTCTGGAACCTGCAATGTTGTAAGCTCAAATAAAGTCTTCTTTTTGTAAGTTCCCTTCATCACACTTTTATCACAGCAACAGAAAACGAATACAATTTTCCCTAAAAAGTATTTCCCAAGATGGCTGTGGTAGGTGCCCCTATAATCCCAGCTGCGTGGGAGGCTGAGGTAGCAAGACTGCGAGTTCCAGACCACCCTGGACAACATAACAAAGCTGTGTTTCAAAATAAAAAATAGAATGTAATTCAGTGGTAGTGCGAGAAAGGAGAACAAAAGCCATGGACAAAAAAAATATTCCTTATTTAGACCTCTTTTTAAGTTGTGAAAAACAGGAAATTGCTAGAAAATAAATCCACTAGAATTATCTATTTGTGATTTGCTACTTGAGAATCTTGGGACTATACCAACCCCAACAATTTACTCTCATCGGCAAGGAAAACCCATCTGAGGGAGCAGGCGCTGCCTCAGGACCTGCCACACCTAAGAGCCTGTTGCAACTGTCAGCAAAGTTTACCAAGTAATCAAAAACAAAACAAAACTATTCCTTTACCAATTTATCTAATGATTTCTGTGCTTGTCCTTGTAAGAATAAAACATCATAATCTTTAAGGCTGAATACCAAAGTCGCAGACAAAAATCACATTTATTTCAATAGCTCCAAGTGCAAACAGAGCAAGTCAATTCACAAAGCTCAAGGTACAACTTCAAGAACAGTCGATGTACAAAAGTGAAGGGGACGAAAGCAGAAATAAAGCTCCTCAGTTAAAAAATCAAGTCATTTGAAAATCTTTAGACTGTAATGTTCCGTGTACACCATGTCCGAAATGCGTTAATTTACAGATGCCAACAGCGTATTACAATGAAACACTCTCCTTCGCAGAAAGAACCACCCGAAGCTGGCCACGCCACAGCAGAGTGGCCTTGGTGCTAGTGATTCCAGACTCAAGAGCCTCAGCCACTCACCCTATCAGCTGATGTAGTTTAATTTATGGTATTTTCATTTTAGGCAAATTCTAAAAAATATCTAAAGTCAAATATAAGGCGAACATCATTACTGAGAAATTTCTGAACTAACCAGTATACAGGTAAGAGGCCAATGTCGACTTCAGTCCTCTGGTAGCACAGGGTTGGGGGCATACATTAATACCTTCCTCTAATACTTAAAATTTTTTTACCTTTTGGTGAGGTTAGCAATAATGGCCTTTCAAACCTCCAGTGAAAACTGCCCTTAAATATATATTTATTTATTCCCACATATACAGAAATTGAAAGTGAAGTAGAAAAGTTCCCTCTGGAAGATAATCAAAGGTCATTCATGTTCCTTTCACCCCTCAGTAGCCAAGTCACATGCTCAGTTCTGCTCCCCAGAAGCCATGTTAGCCACTAGTTTCAGTTCAGGACACATGAGTCTTCAGGACAAGGCTTAGGAGGAACATTCACTCCATCTTTTCCCCAAGCTTCTTCTGTTTTTCAATGTAGGCATGATACTGCACATCTGTCCCAAAGATTCTGTCCCACCACGTGAACGTTGAGGCGTAATTTCCAATGAAGTTCATGTGGTGGAAATCGTGATGACGAGAACCAGTATAGAAAGGGATGAAGTTCAAAGGGTTGAGAGGAATATAATAACCACTGAAATAAAAGGATACAAGTTACTAATGAAAGAAGTAAAGACACCTCCAATAAACAGCACTGTCGTTAACAAGAAGCTCTGGATGAAAGAACTTAATTTCTGACACATTTGCAGAAGACAAAAATTGGTCAGAACCTGATGGTTCACATCTGCAATGCCACTTAGGAGGCCAGAACAGTGGAGTGAGAGTTCAAGGCCAGTCAAGGTTAGCCTGGGGTATAAGATCCTAGTTAAAAAAAAAACAAAAAACAAAAACAGAAACAACAGCAACAATGACAAAAAAGTATACATTAAGAAATTAGGAAAAAAAAACAACAACAAAAAACGGGGCAGGAGAGATGGCTTAGCAGTTAGCAGCACTGGCTAAGTCCCAGGTCACAATGCAGCAAGCACAGGGTTTTAGAACAAGGAGGAATTAGAGCAGCAAGCATTTTTAAAGGCCTTCGGTATAAAGTGTGCCACACAATGTCTTCTGACCAGTGAAAAGGAAGTATCTGAGGAATGCCTGCACTACAAGCAGGGCCTTCACTGGGTAAACACTTTCATCGGTGCTGCACAGAGGAGACTAGAAACGACTTGCAGTGAAAGCTGCAGCTTTCATTAAGGCTCCAGGAGTGAAGCAAGAGGAGGATGCTGCTAGCCTTGAATACTACTCTACTTGTCCAAGTAACACCGCCTCATTTTAAAAATAGCAACATTATGTAAAAAAAAGTCTATCACTTGATCTTTTATCCAACGATTACGATCCTTCTTAAAATATAGTAACAGGTCTGCTGGGGAAATGGCTCAGCAGTTAAAGTGCTAACCACGCAAGCATGAGGAACACTGTTTGGATGCCCAGAATCCATGTAAATGCTGAATGGGTGTGGTGGCCCACCTGTAATTCCAGCCTCCAAAGACAGAGACAGGGATCCCGGGGCAAGGTGGTAACAAGACTGCCAAGCTCTGGGTTTGACTGAGACCTTGCCTCAATGAATAAGGTAAAAGATCAATCATATGTATATGCCCCCACACATAAAAACATGGATGCACGCATACCAACCAACACATCAACATACCAACATACATGAAAAATAGAAAAAGATAACATGAAAATGATTAATTTTTCCTATCAGTCTACTCAGAAACATAGATGATCCATGAAAATAAAGACATTTAGTGATGCCTTACACCTGAACAGAAACCATTACTCACCTATGGACATCGATGGTTTCTAGCAAACGAATGGTCACCCATGCCCAGAGAAAAACTACGTGATCACACAAAAGCACAATTCCAATGAAAAATCCAGCTCCAAGAATTACGGTTTCTAAAGGATGTGCGTATTCCGCTTCAATTCCAAACGGAGCCTGTTGAACAGAGTAAGGATTCCTTAATACACTGTGAGGTTTCATTTTATGTGCCAACTTGCTAGTGCCCACTGTATGTTGAAGCACCAGGTTAGATGTATGCTTTGAGTAATGGAGGTTGTTCTCCACAAGAGTGGGTTCCTTCCACTCAGTAAAGGTTTTAAGAGCAAAGACTGTGGTTTCCCAAGGAAGAAGAATTTCTATGACTGCTACGGAAGATCTACTTGAGTTTATGGCTCGTTGCTCTGAAGAATTTGACTCCAGACTACAACACTGATATTTTGTTTTTTGAGACAAGGTCTATGTAGCTCAGGCTGACCGTGGACTCATGATGATCCAGCCTCAGTCTGAGTATTGGTATTACAAGTGTTTACCACCAGACTTGCCAGCAACAAAAACCTCATGGACCAATTCTGTCATATAAACCTCTCCGTGTATACTGACTTCTTTCTCTGGAGAACCCTAAACATTTATTCAATTTATACAGTTTTATGAAACTATATTGTTTACACAAGTAGTGATAATGTATCTAGCTGTTCCTATACAAAACATAGTAGTGTTCAATAACTTTCTTTTGTTTCTAATTAATCAAAAGGTTTAGAGATATAAATGCCTTAGTAATTACTTAGTAATTATCTTTAGTCTGACTTCAATACTAATTAAAGATTTTTATTTACACACACACACACACACACACACACTACTCTTACATACATGCAGGCA